CTCACCCACATGTGCCACCTCACTGACTGCCAGACCCAGGAAGACTCCTTGCCTGTTCTTGCCCTCGAACTGCTGTGCCTCCTGCTCGCCCCCTCTAGTTTCCCAGGTGTTTTTTTTTTTGTTTCTCGGGTGTTTTTTTTCCCCCAGGTGTTTTTTGTTTGTTTGTTTTGTTTTAAGGCTGGGTCTCATATAGCCTAGGTTGGCCTTGAACTCCAGATCCGCATGAGTCTCGCTTCTCCAGTTCTGTGAATAAAGGCATGTGCCATCACATCCAGCATTAATCACCTGGCCAGGTGATTATCAAATTTTTTGTCCTTTCCCACTGGTTAGGGGCTTAAAGCTCAGATTAAGAAATAGGTAATACCTATTGGGGTTGATGGAAGACAGTGGACAGCAGCTATGGGGGCAGCAGGTGCATCTGAGGCAGTTGGGGCTGCTTAGCAGTGTTCCCCACTCCCTCTCTCTTATTAAGATATGATTGACTTTATGTCAGGGGAAAAAAAAACTTGTTCAGATATCAAAGCAAAGCTCTCAAGATAAGGTTTTCCTGATGAAGTGTTTTTCTAGGAGATTCACAGAAGGGAAGAGAGGGAGAAGGCAAGGTCCTTGGGAAGGTCTGGAAGGGATTAGGACCCAGGCCAAGGTACTCTGAGAACAAGCAGAAACTGAGAGACATGAAGGATCCCGCTAGAGCCTCCAGAGGGAGCACTACCCTGCTGTCTGCATTTCAGACTCAGGGCTTCACGGAGGAAACACAGTCTGTCACAGGAGCCCCAGGAAACTAACACAGGCAGATCCAGCCCTGCCCCTCACCTAACTCTGCCCCACCCCTAACTCTGTCAGATAAAACGGTTAAACTGCCATCCTCCATAAAGAGGCAGCAGATCTATCTCTAAACTCACTCAACAGGCGTTTGCTAAGTGCCTGGTGTTAAGCTTGACCTACCCAAAGCTTCCTAGGAGTGAGGAAGTGGTTATAAGGGAGTCACAAGAGAAAGTACAGAGCCATTTTTGTGGTCCACACTGGGAGGACCAATGGCTTCCCCTCAGGTGACAGTTCCACTTCTTTGTCAATCTGACCAGATTTGGAATCACTGTGAGGTTGTTCCGTGCAAGCTTTAACTGAAGGAAGTGGAACATGAATGGGAGCAGTGGCGTTTCAAGGACTGGGGACCAAGCCTGAATGAAAGGGGAGAAGAGAGAAAGCCAGCTACACCTGAGTGAGCATCTGCCTTTCTCTGCTTCTGGCTGTAGATGCCATGTGACTTTGCCTCTTGCTCCTCCCACTACAGCCAGAAAGACTTTTGCCACCATGCTGTCCCCTCTATGGTGGATGGTACCCTGAAACTATGAGCCAAAATGGTTAGTTCTCAAACCCAGGACAAATGGCTGAGGTGTCTATTTAGCATATGGAAGCGGACCTGGCCACTAGGTTCTCCCTCAGTTTCTACCTGTGAAAGGGTTTGGCTGGCATATCCTGCCCTCTGCCCTGAAAGTCTTCAGCCCAGGGGTTGAGCTGCCCTTCCCCAGATGCCCTTCCCTATATAATCCAGCCATTTTTGTTACCAGGTCCTTTTGTCTACTCTTTCCTCTCCTGGTCTCCTGGTCCATCTCTCTCCTCACCTAGCTCCTCACAGGGCCTGGCTCACAGTCATATTTGCTCTGGACTCTCCCAGATACACCTGCCTCTAGCTATGCTCTCCCCTTTATCTACAATAAACATCTCCACCACACCTAAGAGCTGTCATGTTCTCCCTTTTATTTCTATGTTTTCCATCCAAAAATAAATCCTTTCTTCCTTAAGCTGGTGGGTTTTTAAAAACACCTTTATGTGGTGTTTATGTGGGTAGGTGTTTTGCCTGTATGTGTACCATGTGTGTGCGGTGTCCAGAGGACAGAGAGGTACCAATTACCTGGGACTGGAGTTATAAATGGTTGTGAGCCACCATGTGGGTACTGAGAATTGAAGCCAGGTCTTCTGGAAGAGCAACAAGTGCTCCTAAGCTCTGAGCCATCTCTCCAGCCCCAGTAGTCTAATTTTAAACTAAAAACAAAGAAGCAAACAAAACAACAGGGGAAAGCAGTCCTTCATTACCATAAATTATGCAGTTGTGTTTTCCACAGTTGGGGAACCCCAGGGTCCAGAACACCTGTGGCGCAAAGGATGAGCCTCCCCCTGGGAAAATCACCTTCTTGTCAGAAAGTATCCTTAAGTGTTTTTTGTCAGGTCCTTTGTCACAGCAGTAAAAGTAATTGATGCAAGAAACAAATACTGGTAAGGAGAGACACTGCAGAGCCTGACAGTGTGGTTCATAGGTCTTTGAAAGGCTTTGCAGGACCAGTGTGAAAGAGTCTGAGCTGAAAGCTAGAGAATTCTAGAATGCTGTATGCAGAGCTTAATGGGCCATTCTAGAGAGCCACCCATAGAAGGCTCCAACTTATGAAAACACAAATTTATTTGAGGAAAAAAAAAAAAAGTGAAAGCCAGAAGGCTTTGTCTACTTGAGCTCAGTTTCCTAGAGAAGTGTCTTCCCAGGTTCAGTCCCTAAGAGGTACAGGGAAGACTATAGGTGTTTAGTGAGTGTGCTGGATAGTTTTATGTCTGCTTGACACAAGTCATCTGAGAGGAAAGAACTTCAGTTAAGAAAAGGACACCATAATATCCAGTTGTAGGGTATTTTCTTAATTAGTGACTGATGGGGAAGAGCCCAGCCCATTGTGGGTGATGTCATCCCTAGGCTGGTGGTCCTGGGTTCTACAAGAAAGCCATGGGGAGCTAGCCTGTAAGTAGCACCCCTCCATGGCTTCTGTATCAGCTCCTGCCTCCAGGTTCCTGCTTGTTTGAGTTCCTGTCCTGACCCCCTTCAACAATGAATTATGATGATGGAAGTGTAAGCCAAATAAACCCTTTCTGCCCCAATTTGCTTTTTGGTCATGGTGTTTCATCATAGCAATAGAAACCCTAACTGAGAGAGCAGGTATGCACAATGCATGAGTTACAGGGTCACAGAAGCTTGCGCCGACGTTATAGAGAGCTGGGAACTGTAGGTGATACGTGGCTGAGTTCAATTCCCTTCAAAGAGGTCCTAAGAGACCACTGGATGAAGCCATGGGGGTGAAGCCTAAAATGCAATGGAGACCCCAAGAGGGCTGAGAAACCTAGACCATGGACTATACACCAAGAAAAGCTGCGAACACCTAGTGAAGAGTGCCCTAAAGAGGGTTCTGTGCTGTGGGGCCGAAGCCTGCATGGGCACAGGAGGCCAGCACTTGAGTCGGGACCACCAAGAGCTCTGGATGTCAGGTAAGGGTTGAAGGATATGTTCCCTGTCCTCCTGGACTTCCGGCTTGTCTGAGCTCATTCTGTCCTTTCTTTGTCCCAACTCTTTCCTTTTGGAATGGGGGTGCTTACTCTGTGTTTTTGGATATTGGGATTGTATAACTTATATTCCTGATTTTACAGATGTATCGTTAAAAGATCACCCTGAGTGTCAGAAAAGACTTGGGGCTTCTGAACAATGTTAGAACTGTTAAGGTGAACTACATACATGCTATGCTGCCTTATGAGGTGGCCACAGGTGTCGAGGTCGACGGGTAGAATGATGAAAATGATATGTTAGGGTATCCCATGGACACGGGGTGGTGATGATGATTAATCTTCACTGACTCGGGACGTGTCTGTGAGGGTGTTCCCAGACAGGTTAAATGAGGAAAGGACTTGCCCTGCCTTCGTAGCACATGGGCTGAGGGCTTGGAATAAAAAGAAGGACACAAATGGGGAACCAGCATTCATCTTTCTGGATGCAATGTGACCAGCCACCCTAATCTCCTGCTCTCTGCCTCCCCACCAGGATGGGCTGTGCCTTCCTTAAGAGTTTCTCTTGTCAGGCATTTTGTCACAGGAGTGAGAAAAGCAACCAACACACCCAGCAACTCGCGGCTGAGTGGGAGGAGGCAAGGACAGAGCCGGTGGTCCAAGGACAGCAAGTCATGGTGCCCAGCCTGGAGACTGTGTGCAAGGACTCCAGGATGCAGGCAAGCACTGGACACCCAGGGAGCCACAGGATCCACAGCTAGTAGAGGCCACCACTCAGGGCTGAGACTTCACTCTATCCAATGAGGAGGTAGGAGGCATGAGCACCCGCTAGGGCCCCGGGGCCACATTGGAGGTGCTGAATCCCTTGATGGGTATGAGGCAGGGAGACAATGGTGGCCAGACAGGCCTCTAGAAACATCACTGAGACATGAGTGGAGAGCTGGGAACAGGCTGGAGTGCCAGTTAGAAGGCCCTGTGGGACTGTAATGGCCCACGGTTAATGAAGCAAGGGTCAGAAGAGCTTCCACCTTAGACACCTCAGATGAGGATGGCAGGCGTTGGCTCCCTCCCCCTACCAACCTGGTGCCATAAAGCTGATTGCCCCACCATCAACCCTAGTAAGAATTTATTACCTTGACAGTTATCAGACTTCACTCCCTTCTAAGATCCCCCCCCACTTCTGCCCAAGACCCTACAGCTGCTGAGTATGCAGATGAAGCATCTTCCAATATCCCTGTCCTGGCCAATTGTACACAACCACACAAACCATGCCCCAGAGACTCTGGCCACCTCCCAGTGTCATAATACCTCTCCCCCATCCCAATAAATGAATCAGTTCTCTGAAGCTGTTCCTGGGAGTGTGTTCTTTACTCAAATACTGCCAACCAAGATCCTGCCTGCACCCATCCCCCACAGCTAAGCTTCCCTCCCTCCAGCCCAGCCTGGTGGGCAACGGGCCTGGATACCCCGAGGGGGAGACATCACCTAGGAGGCCATGACGGTGCTAAGCCCCAGGCTGCTGGGTGGTGGGGAGGGGACAGATTTGAGGGTTAAGAGGCAGAAATGAAATAAGGCCCATCAGTATCACATGGTGCTCATGAAAGACACGGGGCCAGACACCAGCGCAGCATGGTCCCCGGCCTCCCATATGTACACCACATCACAAAGGCAGCAAGTCCACTCACCATCCTTGAGTGAGAAGCTCAGCAGGTCCTGCGGGAAAAGGAGACCGAAATCAGTGACGTGCTGACAGGCCACCTGCCAGCTTACATGACAAATATTGACTCCTATCAAGCGGAGATGGTGAAAGCCCTCCACCCTACAGTCCACCGGGGAGTTAGGCAGTAACCCTGCACGAGAGTGAATAAGCAGGCCAATGTGAGGACAGGAAGGCCCTGCTTTCTGCCTGTGCTACCAGCAGCCCATGCCACAAGCTTCTGCCTACTTAAGCTGCACTCAGAAAGGGTGACATGCTCACGGCCACACAGCAAAGCTGCTGCTTCAGAAAAAGAGTCACCGTAGCTTGAAAGAATGGGCTGTGGGGTCAGACCACCAAGGTTCAAGTCCTGCCTTGGCTACTTTTCAGTGGTGTGACCTTGGGCAAGGATCTGTCTGTGCCATAGTCATATCAACTATAAAATAGGGATGATTACACAGGTTAAACATCCCTAATTGAAAAAATCCCAATTCCAAAGCTATATATATAATATACATGTATATATGTATATATACATATATGCATACACACATATGTGTATATATATTAACAGATTTATTTATGTGGGTGCGTGTGAGCACCTGCAAGTTTATGTGCACATATGTGTGCAGGAACCCCAGAAGGCCAGAAGAGGGCACTGCACTCCCCAGAACTGGACTTACAAGAGCAGCAAGGGCTCTTAATGCCTGAGCCGTCCCTTGTAACCCCACTCCCAGTTCCAAAAATATTTCAAGTGAAAAAATTCCATACTGTGAACTGTGGTTCCACGAACAAAAGTATTAAAAACATAAAATTACCTTCAGACTACGTATGTAAGATGCACAGGAAACAAATGTCAACTTTGTGTGCAGAGCCCGTGTCCCATCTAAAAACATCTATGTGTGTATGTAAGTATTCCAGCCTTGCGGTTTCTGGGGAGAGAATGAGTCATTTCCCTTCCAAGTAAATCATGCGGGCTGGGATGGCAGCACAGCCCAATGCACCATCATCATATATTACAGTGGTGATCATAATTTAGTTGCTGCTGAATTACCATGATAGAAACCTTCACTATTCATTCAATGTGCGGAGAGTAGTTATAATTAGGTCTTGGCTCCACAGAACTTAACAACCTCCTCAAACAAACTCCTGGGGTAGGGGACACAAGCCGAGTGCCCCACGTCCAAAATGCTTGCAACCAGAAGTGCCATCAACACCTCCAACTGGGAGGGGGAGGTTGGAATATTTTTTTAAGATTTATTTTTATTTTATGTGTATGGGTGTTTTGGAGGCATGTGTCTGTGCACATGTGTTCAGTGCCTGCAGGGCCCAGAAGACGGCGCCAGATCCCCTGGAACTGGAATTGTAGATGGTTGTGAAGCACCATACCTGAGTGATTGCTGACGGGTCGCCTTTCAGGATGGGGTCCTTCAATAAAGTCTGAGCAAAGATGTCAGCCTCTTCACCTCCCAGGCCACTGGCAAAGGCAGTCATGGTGGGGAGGACAGCTTCAGACAAATGCAGCCATTTTACCAGGCCTGTCACAAATTCTGTGCAGAAGGGGCTGAAAAGAGGTGTAGTTAGATCCTGACCTTCTGGAGAACATGACCTGCTGAGGCCAATGGTAGACGGACAGGGTCACCCATGTTAGCCTGTGAAATACAGAGATGGCCCAGACAGGGCCTGAAGTGATGCAGCTCCTCCCTTCAGTTTCCACTGAGGCTTTTTACCAAGGGGCACAAGAACCACAGATAGGAAGGCAAGCCAGCAGCTGCTGCCTGTGTGACCTGGACCTGAGCCATGCTGGGGAACCGGGAATCAGGGAACAGGAGTCACCCCAGAGTGGTGTGTTGTGAGAGAAGAGGGGGAGAGTCCAAGTCCTAAGCAGCCCCCGATTCACCTGCTTGGCTGGACAGCAGCAACCCTGGGAAAGCAGGAGAACAGATGTCATCAAGGACTCATTTCTGGGAAGATAGTTATGGTAAAGGTGGAGTCCTCACTCCAGCTGGTGGGCTGTCACGGTGCATGCTAGAGGGACAATGGGGCCACTGTGGAGAGTTGGGAGCCCCATGATCTGAGATAGAAGTGTACTGTATCTTGGGGACCATGGCAGAGTCCACACCAACTTCGGATGCAGGCTGCCGTCTGTGGGCAGGCAGTGGTGGGGCATGGGAAACAGGAGAATTAACCAGGAAGTAAAGAGAAGGGAAAGCCTAGATGCCTCATTTAAACTCCTAAAGTGGAGCCTCATCCTCATGCACTGCCCTGGGCTTGCAGGCCTGGGGTCTGCTCCCTGCAGGGAAACTGGCCAGACTGGGGTGGACTCCTGGGTAAATTTAGAACTCCCTGGTGGTGAAGGAAACTAGGGAGCCCTCCATCTTGTACCACACAGCCCACCCATCTCATTCTTCACAGCTGCTGAGGAGCGGAGAGGCCTCTAAGGCTGGGGCTATTGCGGGGTGAGATGGGAGCTAGGGTCTAGATCCTGGCTTCGCTGTCACCAGAAACTTGTCACCCAATAATAGAAATTATTTGGGCTCCTCCGGGAACTAGCACCTACAGAAGGGAAGGAGGAAGCAGAGCTGAGCACAGGGCTGGGTGGGGATGGTGGCGCACAGCTGAGCTGTATGTTGCCATCTTGGGGGCACACCTCGGCTGACATTGCTACTGAGCTTGAGTTATGAAGATGGGTGCCCCAGTGGCCTCAAGTGGTGACTCTATGCCAGCTATCTCTGGGAATGAGGTGACATCTTAGAAATGTGGTCTTGTGTAGCTGGGGCAGGCCTCAAAGGTGACAGACAGCACAGGGCTGGGCAGACAGCCCCTCCGTCATTCCTGTAAGGAGAACAGTGCACCTTAGCAGCTTGGGAAGGTCCACTCTGTCTGTGCCTCTGAGTCCTTCTCTGTAAAAATGGGATGGAGACCAGCTTCATAAGGCAGAACACAGCGTGCAGCCAAAGCTTGAGTAAGGCTAGTGGCGTTGTAACTGATTGACAGGTGACTAAGGGAGACAATGGAGAAAAGGGTGAGAGTTTGACCGTGGCATCCAGAGTTTGACCGTGGCATCCAGCCACCCTGGGGAATCCTTGGAGTCCCCGATTCACTTCTTTTTTTTCTAAGGCTGTAAAATGTAGGTGACATCAGGACCCATCCCTGGAGTTATACAAAAGATAAAAAGATAGCAGCAGTACGAGCCATCTGCAGACCTGCAGTAAACGTTATCTCTTGTGATAGCCTTGTGACAGATAACTCACTTCCCAGAGGATCATCCCAGGGGACTGACCTAGGGTAGCAGGTGAGTGTGGATGGGGGTGGCTGCAGGAATGATTAAGTGGGTGAACAGACAGAGCCATCAGTGTATTGTACAGGAGTGGCTCAGGGCCAAGGGAGTAGTCTAGCCTGATGTCTGTCTGTCAGGAGAGTCTCAGACCTAAAGGGCCATATTGTCATAAGAGCACAGGGTTAGAGAGCACAGCACAGACGCTGCCCCCAGCTCTGAGCTCCTGGGCTCCATCACTCCACCTCTCTAGGCCTTCGATTCTGAGTATGTAAAACAGTTGTGATAAGGATGAACCCTAGTTCATAGGGTGTTGGAAAGATTAACAGAGTTAATATCTGGCCTGAGCAAAGAGTAGCACATGTAAGGCACTACCTACTGACAGATTTCTGTAACGGTTGCCCTAGTTTCACTTCTGTTGCTGTGATAAAAACACTTGAAAAAAGCAGCTATGGGGAGAAAAAGTTTAGTTGGTTTTTTTTGGCTTCCTGTTCCAGGTTATGGTCCACCATTGCAGGGCAGTCAAGACAGGAACTTAAAAACATCATATCCACAGATGGAACAAGCTCACAGAGCTTGGCTTATCGCCTTGCTCCCAGCAATACAGTACACCTCTCTTGTACTATTCAGGACCCCCTGCTGAGGGAACGGCGCTGCCCAGAGTGGGCTGGGTCTTCCCATATCAACCAACTGTGGAAACAGTTCTCCACAGACAGGCCCACAAGCCAATGTGATCTAGATAGTTCCTCATTTAGACTCTTCGTAGGTGATTCTAAGCTGTGTCAGTTGACAGTTAAACTAAACAGCCCAATGGTCTGGTAGAAGCTACCCCCTCCTTCTGTGTGTGTGTGTGTGTGTGTGTGTGTGTGTGTGTGTGTGTGTGTGTGTGTTATTCAGCGTATCAACTCAACAAGTTAAGTAATGTGTCAGATGGGCAGGGCCTTGGTATTGCTGTTAACTGGTTGGTAGTTGGGTTGGAATACATGAAAATAAGCCTGGGCTTTTATGCATAGAGTGTGGTAGAATGCAAGCCCATCCATCTTGCAACCCCAGGTGCCATGCTTACCCACTATGGAGCCGCCCCTCTCCAGCAACTGTACCACCCAGAGTCATCACGTGCTTGTCACTCACTAAGATTGCACTTAAAAGTAGGACACCCTGGCTTCTAGGGTTCAAGCTATCCGGAGTCCCAAAGGGAAACAAAGGCAAAGATTCCTTAGAATCTTGGCTTCCTCATTCTTCCTCCAAAGTTGCTTCTCCCATGGACCACAAACTATAGCTTTCAGGAATCTGGCACCTAGCTTGCTTTTGTGAATAAAGCTTTATTGACACATAGCCATGCTCTTGCTGCAGCCACCGTGGGTCTACCACAGAGAGGTTCAGTAACTGACACATACCACAGCCTGAGAACTAAAAAATATCCGAGCCTTGGTAGAAGTTTGTGCCCAACTTTGTCTATCCAACTGGTCTTGACTTTTTATGAGAAGTGGTCTCAGCATATGGCCCAGGTTGGCTTTGAATTTGTGATTTTCTGGCCTCAGCCTCCTGAGTGCTGATGTTAAAAATCATGAGTGTACAGTAGGGCACATGTCTAGGCCTGGGGCTGCTGCACCCGGCTCTACATTGCTTCTTTAGCTTTACTTTTGTCTTTTTTTTCCTTTCTCTTTCTTTTTGTGGTGCTGGGACTGAGCCTCATGCATGCTAGGCAGGCACTCTATGGCTGCCCAGCTCTGCATTTTGGATAAATCAAACCAGTTGTAAGAAGGAGCATCTAGGATGCTCACAGGGCAGATAAGAAATAAATATTCAAGATATTTGCTTTGATGTCCCTTGAGGACACCAAACTGCTTTTTAAAGAAAACAGAAACCAAGAGCAGCCAATCTGGGCTTTAAAAAGACAGAGAGTTCAGAAAAGAAAAATGTGTTCTGCCTTAAAATTCAGATGGGCAGTGACTGGAACACAGCATGGGGAACAGTGAGGAACCGGGGAGCCCAAGGAGAATTCTGGGGGACAGAGGAACAGAACTCACACTCCTAGTGCCCTCTTAGCTGTGCCCAGGTCAGGCTTGCACTTGGGTTCATCAGGACCTGCTTACAGAAGGTCCTCCTCAGGCTGTACTCAGTTTAGTAGGTGGTGCCAGATTATCTGTTTAGAAGAGCTTTGGGAAGATGGTGGCTTCCTGTGCTTGGTACAAGTAAGGGACAGAGCAGACGTTGAGCTGAACTCTTGTGGGAGACACAGGCTTGTCCGGAGGTTTGAATGAGGTGTTCCTTGTAAGTCTCTCTAAGTATCTGAATACTCGGTCCCCGGTTGGTGGCTGTGTGGGAAGGATTAGGAGGCCTGCCTGGCCTTGTTGGAGGAGGTGTGTCACTGGGGGTGGGCTGTGAGGTCTCAAAGCCTCTTGTCACCCCAGTGTGCTCTCTGCCTCCTGTTTGGGGTTTGAGATGCGAGTTCTCAGCTGTTCCTGCTGCCATGCCTTTACCTTACAGAACTAACCTTCTGAAACTGCAGGGCAGTTTAATGTTTTCTTTTGGAAGCTGCCTTGGTCATGATGTTTTGTCACAGCAATAGGAAAGTAACTAAGATACCCGGGAACAGAATATCCAAGATGTTTCTCACTGCTAGATGGAAGCCACGAGATTGATGACGACATCATCATCATCATCATCATCATCATCATCATCATCATCATCATATCATCATAATCATCATCATCATCTGAAACAGTGTCTTCTGTAGGCTAGCTTCCAATTTACTAGTGGGTGAGGATGACCTTGAACTCCCAAACTTCTTGCCTTCACATCACAAGTGGCAGGATATCAATCCTGTGCCTCTGTGCCCAGTTTGATGCGGGGCTTGGGCTGTAGTTCTCAGCCAGGTTCTGCAGAAGCCATCTACACAGCTCCTGCTGCCCGCTGTGACACCAGTGCAGGGCCAGCTGTTTCTCTGAGGATGGCAAAAGCTGTCAAACACTTCCCTTTCCCCCAGGCTCCTTTGCAGCTGTGGCTTGGCCATGTGACTGGATCTAACTAATGACACAAAAAGGAAGCCCTGTGGGGTTCTGTGGCAGGAAAGACTTTCTGTCTGTATTTCCTCCTGCTTTGGGCCTGGTCCTCTGGAGATGTGATACATGGAAGTGAAACAGCTATTGGCCCATCAACCCAGGGATTATCTATCTATCTATCTATCTATCTATCTATCTATCTATCTATCTATCTATCTATCTATCTTTCTTCTTCTTCTTCTTCTTCTTCTTCTTCTTCTTCTTCTTCTTCTTCTTCTTCTTCTTCTTCTTCTTCTTCTTCTTCATAGCACATAAGGAAAAGAAATCTACCACTCACTCCTTTAGTCCTGTGTTTTATGACTTTCACTCCAAAGTACCCTGATGTCAGGAACAGATTCCACTGTTATCCTCATTCTATGAGGGGAAAAGGAAGTAAGGTGTCACGTTAGCCACACCCATTACTGTGCAGTGAGCACCTACTGTGTGCTAGGCACTGTGTTGTTTATCCTACAGATGCACGGCCAGACTGCTGCTCCCCATCAGGCTTAAGTCACTCTCCCAAGCACATGGTAAGTGCTCAATAAACATACATTTTATGAACGAATATCTCCCTTGTCCTCTATGGACAGAGACCCACTGAGGGGAGGAATGAGGTCAGGCTCATTTATCACATACACAAAATCTTCCATGAACAGAAAATTGTGTCTGGCATCCAGTTGGAGCTCAAAAGATGCTTAAGGGTAGCATACCTGAGAGATAACTAAGCAAGAGGTTACCTCATCCCCCTCTGAGGCTTGTGGTTGTGGTTGCCTATGGGACTTGGCAGCTGACTGGCTATTGGGAGTCACCTCCCTGAAAAGGCCCGGCCTTCCCTCTGAGAGACAGAAAAGCTCACCTTTGCTCAGGTTCTGGAAACAACTGTGACAAGGAGATGCCACAGAGGGCAGCATAGGCAAAGCGGTTGGCCTCGGTCAGCTCTCGGCCCAGGGGCTGCTGGGACTCCCCTTCTGTAGCTGGCTCTGCTGCCGGAGGCTGCCTGAGATGTGGCCTTTTCCATGTGGCCATTCCCAGCCCTGCAAAACAGAGTCCCAGTGAGAGGCTTCCAGGAGAAGGAATTGCTTATCAGAAGGGACACAAAAACCGTCTTTCATAACTAACCGTGGTGGCCCTTGCCTGTCACCCCAGAACTAGGAAGGCTGAGGTAGACGGGCTGGAAGTTCCCAGTCAGCATAGGCTATACATAGTGAGATCACAAAACAACAACCCTAAATGATAAGACTAACAAATTAGTGCTGCTAGAATGATGAATTTCTATTCAGTGCCTTGTTTTTTTGTTTGTTTTTAATATTTTTATTTTTTATTTAACTTTTATTTTATGTGCATTAGTGTGAAGGTGTCAGATCCCTTGGAATTGGCATTACAGACAGCTTTGAGCTGCCATGCGGGTGCTGGGAATTGAACCCAGTTACTTTGGAAGAGCAGGCAGTGCTCTTAACCAGTGAGCCATCTCTCCAGCCCTCAGTGCCTTGTTTTATTTTGTTTTGTTTTGAGATGGGTCTCATGTTGCTGAGCTAAAACTTGCTATATAGCTGAAGATGATCTTGAACTCATGCTTTCTGCCTCTGCTTCCCATGCTGGGATAACCTAGGCCACTATGATCAGCTCTGTTTACATACAGGCCAGCTGTGGTGGTGCACACCTTTAATGCCAGCATTTGGGAGAAGAGACAGGCCTTTGTGAGTCTGAGGCCAGCCCGGGCGGTGCAGGGGTAGGCACGGAGACAGGCAGGTCCCTGGAGTTTGCTGGCCAACCATCCTAATTCTAAGCTGCTGAGGTCGGGGTTCAGTGAGAGAGAGAGAGATTGTCTCAAAAGAATGAGGTGGAGAGGGATTGAGGACACCACTGAGGTTAAGACCTGAGGTTGACCTCTGGTCTCCACATGCAAGTGTTCGCATGTGCACACACAAGAATACATATATAAGTATATATATGTATATGTATGTATATATAAATATATACATATATGTATATGTGTATGTATATATGTAGACAAATATATAGCAGTATATATACACTATAAACCTACTACACACGGGCAAATGCACACACAGAATAGTTGGTTCTGTACTGAGATATATACATGTGTCCTTGTCATCGTCCCCCAACAGTGCACGGAGTAACAACTACACACACAGGCTATTTAGAGATGACTCCAAGTCTCCCTTGGATATGTTGTTCTGATTATGTGTGAATACGATGCTGCTTTAGAAAAACAAACAAACAACACTTGAGCATTGTCACATTTAGGTGACTGAGTGTGGTTCTAAAATCAATCCCTATATGACACCAAAAGGTGACCATAGTCCCAAAACGGAAACAGCCCAAATGACCACCCATAGCAGAAGGTGTAGAGTGAGTCAATGACCATCAAACACTACATAGCGATGAAAAAGAATGAGAGACCCATTAAATAGACACATCCCACAAACAGCCTACAGTTAGCAGAAAGCTGCACACGGGAGACTGTATGTGGCTGAGTACCATGCACAGGACATAGACACATAGATAAAAACAGTGAACAGTATCTCCAAAGGGCATGTGGAGGCTTCCGGGTGATGGAGACATTCCCCATCTTGACCTGGCTGGTGATTACATGTGTGTAAATATGATCAACAATCACGAGGTGTGCACTTCAGATCTGTGCACCTGGTGTATACTATACCTGGGTGAGTGAAGGTAGGAACGTAGAGAGGGGAGTTCTCCCTCATTCCTTGGGGACAGGGGAGGCAGAGACAAGCAGGGAAGAGAAAGGCGGCAAGCCAAGCCCAGCCAGGCGTCCAAGTGAGGAGGAGGAGAAGGATTCAGGGAAAGATGCACCGCAGACATCCAAGCATCTGGGATAAGAACAGGTTCAGACCCTGATGGACATCCAGCCCCCTCCACCTGATCAAAAGGAGACCCTGGTGGCTGGCTGTGGTGGCACACACTTTAATCCCAGCACCCAAGAGGCAGAGGCAGGTGTGTCTCCACTATGAGTTTGAGGCAAGCCTGATCTACAAATCTAGTTCCAAGTCAGCCAACAGAGAAACCCTGTCTCAAGAAACCAAGAAAGAGGAGAAGGAGAAAGAAGTGGAAGAGGAGGAGGGGGAGGAAGAAGAAGAAGAAGAAGAAGAAGAAGAAGAAGAAGAAGAAGAAGAAAAGAAAAGAGAAGGAGAAGCAGGGAGGGAGAGAGGGAGGAGACCCTGGTAATTCAGCCTCACCATGCTTCGATGTTCTCCACTGACAAATGACTATGTAGCTGCCCAGGGAAGCCACTCCTCAGTCACCAACAGAGCCCATGTGTGAGCAAAGCTGGGCCCAGGGCTAACACCACATATTACTTGTTAAAGAAATGAATGCTGCCGGGCAAGGTGGCACATGCCTCTACTCACAGCACTTGGGAGGCACAGGTAGGCAGAGTTCTCTACGAGTTCCAGGCCAGCCTGATCTAGGCTAGCTAGGGGTAATCAGTGAGACTCTGATGGAAAAGAAAGAACACCCAGGCCATTCAACAAAGAAATGTTGCGCTCCCTGGAACAGAGCACAGACATGAGCTATATGTGGGATGGGGATACAGCTGAGTGCTTGCCCTGTATGCACTTCACCCTGGACCCACCCCCAGCTGAATAATCCACGTGTGGGACCTTGTCTATACGTACACAACTGTTCCCTATCTGTCCAATAATAATTATTTTTTAAAACATAATAATGTATTAGTTTTCAAATCATAGTTAAAAGCAACAGACTTTTTTTTTTTTAAGGGTACACTCAAGTATCAACTTTATTTAGGGTAAATTGGACTCTGACTAGTCTCTGTAATATCTATATTTTTGAACACTGAATAAAAGTTTGTAAAAACTTTCTGATCTATTTAATCCTCACAAGTACGTGTAAGGTTAAGCGGGGAGGGAGGCAGCAGGATTCCCTCCTTCAGCTAAGGGATGAGCTCACGACCCAGACTTTTGATTTCCAACCTCTATTTCTCTCCTCTACCCCAGCATTCTGAATCTTCCTTCCCTTCTTTCGGATGGAGAAACTGAAGCTCACAGAGGTTAAGACCTTAACCAAAGCCCCCCAATAAGCCTGGCCTCCAGTGGTTCCTGGAAGTGGGTCGGCCCCAGTCCTGAGGACCAGCTGCCAACATGGTGGTGGGCTGAGGGATCAGAGGGCCCCACTATCAGCAGCTTCAGCAATCTTTGCTGTGTGCCATTTGCAGGCAGTGGTAATTGCACCTATTATCCAGGGGAGCCCAAGATGGCATTGTACTGGGCTGGTATCTGGGGAGCCCTCGTTAGCTCCCTGGGGAAGAAAAAACAGCCTTGTGACCAGGCGAGCATGGGCCTGCTTGCTCCTAACCACTCCGGGGGAGGAGTGTGCAAGGCACAGTGAAAGCTCTGCTCAGGCCAAACTCGCCGGCTCATTCTCCACAGTGCCCTGCTGTGCAGAGCTTTCTCTACATTGTGGCCTAGTGGCCTTTGTGTCATGCCTGGTCCTGTCACTCCCCTGTTTAAAAGCTTCCCAACAGTGGCCTACATCAGTGGTTCTCAGCCTTTCTAGTGCCAAGAATGTTTAATATAGTTCCTTATGCGGTGGTGACCCCCCCAACCATAAAATTTATTTTATTGCTCTTTCATAGCCGTAATTTTGCTACTGTTACAAACTGTAATGAAGATATCTGATCGGTATATCTCATCTGTGACTAACTCACAGGTTGAGAACCACTGGCCTACAATCTCCATCTTGATGCCGTCTGCTGCAGGAACCCTATCTTACAGCCTGGTGCCTGTCTTTCCCCTCACTCCCTAGCCACAGTGGCTGCCTTCCTGCTCTCGCATCTGCTCACTCTTCTGAGACTTTACACCTGCCCTGCTCCCTGTCTGAACTTCCTTCTCCTTCCATCAGACCTGGCCTCAGTCTAAATGTCACCTCCTCTGGGAAGCCTTCCCTGACCATCTAAAAGTGTCTTTGCCTCCCCCTTCCAGCACCCTGCTCTCTCTTAATAATGCTCGTTAATAACTGAAAGAGTGTGTTTTCCCAGATTGCCTTACCTGTGTGTACACACGGAATGTAAGCCTCAGAGCAGATGATGTCCTTGCTTCTCCCCCTCACTTTCTCTGCCTTAGAATACTGCAGGTATCAAACACACTTGCTGAAGAATGAAGACGCTTTCATTCTGCTGGGACACAGATAAAAACATACTGACACACAGTGACATAATCATCAAGTGACTTGGTCAAAGTCACAGAAGTGAGAAGGGGAGGGGGGCTGGCGGGATGGCTCAGGGGGTTAAGAGTACTTGCTGCTCTTGCCGAGGACCCAGGTTCTATTCCTTGCACTGACATGGCAGCCCACAGCCACTAATATCCAGGCCCAGGATGTCTGGTGCCCTATTCTGGCCCCTGTGGACACTGCACACACACGGTACATATACATTTAGGTTTACACACATAAATTAAAAAAATCTAAATCTTAAAGAAATGAACAGCAGGCATGGTGGCACACGCCTTTAATCCCAGCACTCAGGAGGCAGAGGCAAGGCAGAGTTCTGTGAGTTTGAGGCTTGCCTGGTCTACAAAGGGAGTCCAGGTCTTTTTACATAGAGAAACCACATCTCAGGAAAGAAAAGGAAAGGAAAGGGAAAGGAAAGGGACTGGAGAGATAGCTCAGAGGTTAAGAACACTGACTGCCCTTCCAAAGGTCCTGAGTTCAATTCCCAGCACCCACATGGTGGCTCACAGCCATCTATAATGGTGTGCTCTTCTGGTATGTAAGGACACATGTAGGCAGAATGCTGTATAAATAAGAAATAAATGAATCTTTTAAAAAAGAAATAAAAAGGGAAAAGAAATGAATGTGAATAAGGAGGAATCAAAATTCATATTCGTTTCTCTCTGTGGAGTCTATACCCTTAACACTTCACTGAAGAAGTCGGGAAACAGAATGTGTGATTGGTGTTAGTGGAAGAGCACAATCAAACATGTGGGGTAGGCGGGAGGGAGAGAGATCAAGGGGAACTATGTGGATGGATAGGAGGGAGGCTTCTCCCACAGAGGGTGGGGGAGGGGTGAAATGACAAGAAAACAGACGCAACAGAGGGGCTGAATAAACACTGTATAGGTGACATGAGAGACAGAGGGCTACCAAAAGGAAGCTGGAGGTAGAAAAGAGAAGGGCCAGGATGAGACTTGAAGAATAGACAGGAGCAAATCACATAGGGGTGGGTAGGCTGGAAGGGCATGTCCTAGGCAGAGAGGACAGGATGAGGCAGAAGAGAGATTAGGATTTTGAGAAATCAGATGTCCAGAGTAGCTAAGACTAATGCCTGGACATGGAGGACAGGCCAGCTGATGAGCCTCTCGGGGGAGCTGTCATGGTGACCAGGCCCAGTGGACCAGGGAAGGCTTTTCTCGTGTGCAAAGGCAAGGGCTACATGGGGCAGGCGGGGGTGGTGGTGCTGGTGGATGAGAGGATATGGGACCTTCCGGTATTAGTTCTGTGACTTTCCTTCTATCTGACATAATTTTGAAATAGAAGTCAAAAGAATTCCATTAGGAAGGGGCTCAACGGTTAAGAGCACTGGCTGCTCTTCCAGAGGACCTGGGTTCAATTCCCAGCACCTACATGGCAGCTCACAACTGTCCAGCTCCTGTTCCAGGGGATCTGACTCCTAACTTACACATACAGGCAAAACACCAATGTACAGACAATAAAAAAATAAATGAATTTAAAAAAGGATTCCATTAGGAAGATGTGGGGAAACGTAAAGGTCTTTTCTTAGGTCCCAAGTCAATCCTAACTATCCATCCTCATGACAAACTAACCAGCTGTTGATTTCAGAAGCATGTACTGGCACTTGCTGGGTACTAGACTGGCTGTCTGGTGGGGACATGGGGTAGCCATGCCATGCCAGAGAGACAACAGCTCCCCTAATGGGGGCTGTAGGCTAGAGAGAGACTCTTTAAAGCAATGGCACAGATCTGCAGCAAAGGGGACCCCAACAGTCCTTACCCAACTCTGGAGAAGCAGCGTGGGCGGCCCTTTCTCTAAGTCCAAGGACAGGCTGTTCAGCTTCAGAGGGTTCTTCGGGGAAATATGCAAATTGCTCTAGAGACCAAACCAGAAAAACCAGCCATGGGTCCTGAGGGTGTGTACCCTGGGGGAGAAGGAGCAGCTAATCCAAACTGTGCCCCTTGACTCACTCAGGTGCCTGTACCAGTAGAGCAGTAGGCAGCCCCCACTGAGTGGTCACTGCATGCCAGGCCCAGCTTCAACTGTCTCACGGGTGTCCTTATGCCTTGGGCTGTGATTACACCTGGGCCCTGGGTTAGCCTTGGCTCCACAGGCAGGAGTTATCACTCTATATTGTACCAAGCTCCCTGGGTCCATGAGGCTTCCGGTGCAGCAGCTGCGCAGAAAAGACTACTCGTGAACAAGCTCACGAGCTAGGTGTAAATGGGAAACTTTTCACACTCTAGCTGGGCACCAGGCGGAGAAGGGAGATGGGGCTAAGTGTATGAAATCACGCAGGGATGGTCCCAAGCAAGGGCACCCCAACCTTCAACCAATTGGAACTCTAGTCTCTGTCCATTTGTTAGCAGCACTGGCTCATGTGTGACACACACACACACACACACACACACACACACACACACACACACACACTTATGAGACAGAGTCCACTAAGTTGCCTGGCCTGTCTCAAATGTGAGTTCTCCTTTCTGTAGCTCTAACTGGCCTGGAGCTCACTATGTACACCAGGCTGGGCCCAAACTCAGAGATCCACCTACCTCTGCCTCCCCCCGACAGCTAAGGATTACAGACACGAGGTACTGGCCAGTGGCTTTTACACTTTTGTGGGAGTCAGCTGTCCATATGTCTGGGTGTCTTGTAGCCCTGCTTTGTCTGGTGATCTGTTTGTCTATCTTTTGTGCCTTAGTGTAGCTTTAGAAGCCCTGAAAGCACTTGAAAAATTATTGTGTACCATGATACAGCAGTCTTCAAATGCCGGGGTCTTCTACTACAGCTGGGCTGCACTTTCACCAACAGCCTCTCCTGGGCTCTCTTCATGGTGTCAAAGCCTTAACTTCGCTCCTGTCCTAGGTCTTCAACTGCCACTGAGGCCATGCCTGCACCACTGGTTCCTCACAGTGCCAAGCCTCAGCTGCTCTCCATGACCCCTTCATACTTCAAAACTCATACTGCCTGGGAGGTTTTACCAAGTTCAGCTGTCAGCACGAGGTACAACCTTGGCCTCGTATGTGCTTGTATGTGCTGACTCTCAGGAAACACTTCCAAGATGCTGTCTCTTCTTAATCACTGCCAACTTCTAAGCTCCAACTGACCAGCATCAATTACCCTAGCAAAGCAAAGGTTTCACTTTAGTAGTTCTGGTCCCTTATTAATCACAGCTGATTCTTCAGCCCTAGCTAACCAGAACCACAGACTTATATTTCAAAATATGCAATGGCCCCAATCAAGACTTCAAGGGACTCTCAGACTTCCCTCTGGAATTTCAGAAGCCAGGCCTCTGTCGTCTGCATTTCTCCCAATATTCTCATCTTCCAAGAGCCCATAGAACAGCTCACTAAGGTTATAATACTTGATAGCTTTTTTAGCCCAAAGTTCCAAAGTCCTTCCACAATCCTCCACAAAAACATGGTCAGATCTGTCACAGGAATGTCCCATCCTGGTACCAATTTCTGTTTAGTCAGTGTTTCTACTGCTGTGATGTAATATCATGACCAAAAACAACTTGGAGAAGAAACTGTTTATTTCACCCACAGTTCCTGTATCACAGTTCATTATGGAAAGCAGGTAAGGCAGAAACTCAAATGCAGCAAAAACCTGGAGACAGGAACTGACGCAGAGGCCATGGAAGGGTGCTGCTTACTAGCTTGCTCAGCCTGCTTCCTTATGCGACCCAGGACCACCAGCCCAGGGATGGCACCACTCACAACAGGCTGGGCCCTCCCCCATCAATCACTAATTAAGAAAATGACCTACAGGCTTGCCTACAGCCCAATCTCATAGAGGCATTTTCTCAATTCAGGCTCCCTCCTCTCAGATGACTCCAGCTTGTGACATAGAACTAGCCAGCGCGCACACCTGGCCAGTATTACTTTTGCCTCCTTAAGGTGCCATGTGTGTGTCTGTCTCTACCTGGAAAGGGAGGCCCTGGAACACACATCAGGACGTGCCAGCCAACCATGGCCCACTCCAAGGCGAGAGAGGCTGGATTCAGGGCGATTTTCCTATTTTCCTTCTGTGTTTCTGTTTTGTGAATTATCAATAGTGAGCAACCTGATGTGGGTGCTGGGAACCAAGCTTGGGCCCTCTGGAAGCGCAGCAAGTGTTCTTAGCTGCTGAGCTGTTTCTCTAGGCTTCTAGTTATGTTTCACAAAATGTTTTCAGAATAAAATGATCTGAAGGGACCTCACTGAATGTTCATGATGTTAGTCTCTTGGCCAAGGGACTAGAGGTTCCTGGGTTTTATTTTTCTTTCATATTCTGTCCTGAGTTTATTGATATTATTATAATAAAGAGAGATAAATCAATTAACTTAAAATTACACTGTGTGAGTGTGAGTGTGTGTGTGTGTGTGTGTGTGTGTGTGTGTGAGCCACAGTGCACATGTGGAAGTCTGAGAACAATTGGTGGATTATGGCTCTCTCCTGCTAATTAGGAGGCACAGAATCAAACTCAGATCCTCAAGCTTGGCAGTAGGCTCCTTTACCTGCTGATCCACATCCCTGGACCAGAAAAAGATCAGTCCTGGGCTGGGCATGGTGACGAACACCATGTAATCCCAGCACTCAGGGAGGCAGAGGCAGGTGGGTCTCTTGAATTCAAGGCCAGCCTGGTCTACAAGGCAAGTCCAGGACAGCCAAGATTATACAGAGAAACCCTGTCTCGAAAAACCAAACCAAACCAAACCAAACCAAACCAAACCAAACCAAACCAAACCAACCAAACAAAAAAAAGCAGTTCTATTACTTTCTCCTTGGAAGGGGGGTGTTTTTGGTTAGAACACCGGCTCCATGTGGCCCAACTAAATAGAGCCTAGGCCATTGAAATGTTCAATTGCTTGACCAACAGGTCCTGTTAGTAACAAAACAGATGGGCCAGTAAAACAGACAGAGTTGATCTTAGCCACATACAGTGTGGAGATGGAGGAGACTGTGGTTCCAGCGCTGGGTTATGTGATCTGTTAGGTTGTTCCCTATCCTCTATCTGTGGTGGCATCTCTGGACGAGGGGAGGTGATGCCACTTGGTGTGCACCGGTTCAGGGAGCCTCCATCTCTTGCTACAGCACCCAGCCCAAAGCTAACTCAAGTGTGTGTAAGGAGACACTGATGCTAGGAAGCCCTCTGTGTCCTGAGTATCCCAGCAGCACCAGGGGCAAGAGGTCATGATGGAGGGAGTAGCCGCCATTTCCTAGAGCCTCCTGGAGAATGTGTCCCTTTCCAGGTACTGTAAAGACATTCAGGGACTTCAAGCAAGGTCCATGTTTGATCTAGAAGAACACCATCTGCCAGGGTAACAACTTTTACAGCCTGAGAGCCACCACACCCACAGTGAGGCTGTGTGTCCAGACTCGTGACGGACAGGGTTGGTCCTGGAAAGACCTCATTCTGATCCAAGATAATTGTAACTTTTAGCCAGCCAAGCACATTATCTTCCACTACAGAAAATGCTGGTCAAGTGACTTCTGTCGCTGGTGGGACTGACAGCCAGTCATTCCGTAAGAGCAGCCCTAGGCCCTGTGAGCCCAAGTGCTGAGCGCCCAGTGGGCACTTGTTGAATGTACTTGGTGCCAACCAAATGCCAGCCAGTGTAATGTCTCCCTAGAGGAAAAGAAAACTCTCAGAGCCAGCACGGAAAAGGACATCAAACATGGTCAATGTCATGTTCTGAATCACCCAAACACTGCATGACCCAGGCCTTCATAAGATCCCATACAAGAAGGAACTTTTGTTTTTCCAGCTTTTCTCTCCTCTGGAGCAGTCTGTGAAAGCTAAGGTCAGATATGAGAGGTGTGTGCGTGTGTCTCTGTGTATGTACATGTGTGTCTGTGTCTCTCTGTGTGTGCATGTGTGTTTCTGTGTCTGTGCATGTGTGTCTCTGTATGTGTGTGTGCATGCATGTCTGTGTGTATGTCTACATGTGTGTGCATGTGTGTCTATGACTGTACGCATATGTGTCTCTGTATCTCTGTGTGTACGCTCATGTACACAGGAGGAGGTGTTTTCTCTCTTTTGTTCTGATCATGAGTGAATTTTTAGATGCTTCTATAGTGCTACCAGATGATTAATAGAGAGATGGTTACAATGTCTAGGGAGGGCTAGAAACTCTGAGCACAGGGCCAAGAAAGTCCATCCCAACACAGAACCACAGTGGCCTCTTTAAACTATAAACCTTTAAGAGTATAACTGAGGCATTGGAGAGATGGCTCAGTAGTTAAGAGCACGGAGTGTTCTTCCTGAGGACCAGAGTTTAAATCACAGCATGGCAGCTTACAACTGTTTATAACTCCAAAGTCTGACACCCTCATACAAACACACAGACACGCAGGCAAAACACCAGAGCACACAAAATAAAAATATGTAAATTTGAAAAAAGTTTTAATTACTAAAGAGTATAATTGAAAGTTCTCTCTCTGTTTCTCTCTCACACACACATAGACACAGACACAGACAGATAAGTAAGCATAAGCTGCTTTTAGTAGCAAGGATTCTAGATCCTCCTAATTGTTGCCTACCTCATTCACTCTATACCTCTACCTCAAAGTCTAACTGGAAGCTAGAGATAAATGAGATGGGAGATCTCCATAGCAACACTTGCAACCCAGAAGAACCCAGAGGGTCTGGGACAACTACTTTATATAGCAGAAGGAGAAGATGTTGAGCCTGGAAGGAAAGGTACTATGGTCCCTGCTCCAGCAGCTTGGAGGGTGGGCAGGAAGGGAGGATGGGTGTAGGGCAGGCTCAGCGGTCTGTGTCCACAGTTGCTGTTGCTCCCTTCCTTCCTGCTGGGGCCCTGGCACACCCACCCATAGTCCTCACAGGGTCACAGACGAGCCTCCTCACCAGTCCCCCGTGGCACTTATCGCCATCCATCGCACTTCGTGAAGACAACAGTGTCCTGCTGCCCAAGCCACACTGCCCTCCCCTGCTCCAAAGCTCTGGAAGAAGTCTTTCCCACCCAGCCAAGGCCTTCACAGAGGTGACAGGGCCATAGGTAATCCCATCCTAAGGCCCTGCTAACACCCCCCTTTCCCCTGCTTCTTTCCTTCTCCCTCACTCTGCTGCTGCCACACTGCCCTGCTGTTCCTAGGTCCCCCACACTTAGCGGGACCATGGCCTTTACACTCTCTGTCCCTTCACTGAAATGCTCTTTTCCCAAGATGACCATGAGGGCTGAGGGCTGGGAGTGGCAACTGACTCCCTCACTGAAGCCACTCTGCCTCCAGCCCTAACTTCCGCAGTTCGTTTGGTCTGGGACCCCATGTCCAAATGGGGCCCTTTATATATGACAAACCATGCCAGCGACATCACTGAAGTTCCCTGGGGCAGACTGTCATGACCTATTCTGCTCCACAGCGGCCTTGTGGGGAAGATACCATCCCTATCCCCACCTGAGCTGAGGAAGCCAATGTCACCAAAAGTGGAGGTCACATCACCAGCGTGCAGCAGCCCCACCATGCACCCTAGGCTGGTGTGTCTGCAGATCCTAAGCTCTGCGACCGGGTGTTTGTCTAGCACACACTAGGGCTCCCAGCACTGGCAAAATACAAGAAGATAAAACCAAATAAAAAAAGAACCCCAAGCAATTTTCCCTCTGTTGTTTTACTAAGTGGATCCAGCTGACACCGGCCTTCCTGGGTTTGTAGAGCTAATGCTGGGCCCTGAGTCATACTTCTTCCAATGTAATAATGTCCTTGTGTCCCTGTATCTCTACCCCGGTATCCTATGTCCCCATGAGAGCTCTAGGATCACACCAGTCCCCTCACCCCAGTGCTGGGTAACTCTTCTGTCCTGATTTGTTTGCTCAAGATGGTGTCTGACAACAAAGTGGCACTCTGGTTATGTTGCTTGAGGTACCCTGTGATAGCATGTGGCACAGATGGAGCTGAATGAATGAATGAATGAATAAATGAACGCCTCTCTCTACAAGTGAGAAATGACTTCAGTGTATCTTTGCCAGAGGCAATGAGTTTTGTTTTTAGAGGCAGAGTTTCTCTGTGCAGCCTTGGCTGTCCTGGAACTCACTCTGTAGACCAGGCTGGCCTCGAACTCACAGAGATCCACCTGCCTCTGCCTCCTGAGTGCTGGGATTAAAGGCGTGCACCACCACTGCCCATCAGCAATGAGTTTTGCATACAGCTGAGAGAGGCTGTGTCTGCAGGTAGCTTTCATTACTGAAAGCAAGTAGCCTCCGGCGGGATCCTAGAAGTCCTGGGCTGGCTGGCATGAGTGGGCCGGCCACAAGAGTTTGTTTCCACCTGGGCTTAACCTCTCACCCAGGTCCCATGACTGGTGTGGCCTGGGCGTCTGGAATGCAGAGCTGGGCTGGGTAAGATCTGATGAGTGAGATGTTTATCAGGGGGTGAGGTAGGGAGGAGGTGAGGTAGAGAACCATTGATGAAGCCCTTCTGAGGTGCCCCGGAGGCTAGAGCAGGCATGGGTGAAGGACCTCAGAGTCCACGACACAGGATTTTGTTCTTTACCCTAAGAAAACAGGAGCCAGGCGGGGTTGAGGAGAGAGTAACACCATGGCAGAGGCCCAGCTGCCAGGAGGGGGGAGGACACATGCAAAGGAGACCGAATTCTGCTTGCTGTAACACGCTCTGCTGCTGTCCACTCCTCTGCACCCCTTGGCTATACTGAATGTAGTTCAGAGCCCCAGGGGTCTCCATTGAGAGAGCACTTGTCCAGCACACACAAAGCACTGTGTCCCGTTTTCAGCATCACATAGCTAGGCCTGAAGACACACGCATCTTATCCCAGCACTCAGGAGGTGGAGGCAGGAGGATCAGAAGATCTAGGTGGTAATCCTTGGCTACAGAGTATGTTTAAGGCTAGCCTGGGCTACATGAGACTTTGTCTCAAAACAGCCAACCTCCTGCCCCCCCCCCCAAAAAAAAAAAAAAAAAAAAAACCTCACAAAAACTACTGAAAGCCTATGAGAGGACTATTAACTGCCTAATGTAATGACCATCTTCAGATCCCACAGCGGCCAGGCCAGGCTCTGGTCTAGCCTTCCCAGTCCCATGGTATCCAGGTTCAGGCTGAGCCACAGGAACCGATACCCAACAGCTGTGACCTCCTGGCCACATTGAAGCCTGGGCCTACAAAGGTTCGAAGGTTGCCAGACATCACCCTGCTCTGCTTCTTCAGTCCTCTGTTTAGCTTGCAGACAGATACTCTGTAAACGAAGCCAAGGTGTTCCTGAGAGGTCAGGGCTTGCTGGGGGGCCCTCAAGAAGCTGAGGACCACAGCCTGACTGTCCGACCTGGTGTGAGCCTGTAGGAGTGCACACACCGGAAATCGAGAGTGCGAGGTGGGCATTACGTTTCCAGCCCAGAGGGAGTCTCAGCCTCTTCACCTGGAATTCAGCTCTGCTTCTAAGGTTTCTCTACTGAGAGCAAGAACACGTTATCAAGTCACTAGACCTCTGAAGAAATGCATCTTTGCCTGTCTGAGGGCAGCTCAGTGGTAGAGAACACATGAGGGCCTGAGTTTGGTCCCCAAAGCAATTTTTTTTTTCATTTTTGTTTTCAAGATAGGGTTTCTCTGTGTGGCCCTGGCTGTCCTGGAACTTGCTCTGTAGACCAGGCTGGCCTCACACAGAGATCCACCTGCTTCTGCCTCCTGAATGCTGGGATTAAAGGTGTATGCCACCACTGCCCATTTTTAATTTACTTTTTTTTTTTTTTATCTACATAGCCCTGGCTGTCTTGGAACCCCCTATGTAGACCGGGCCAGTCCCAAACTCACAGTTTGAGCTTAAATCCTGAATGCCAGGATTAAAGGCATTTGCCACCATGCCTGGCTTTATATTTACTTTTGATTTGGCAAAGACCCTTTGTACAGTGCTTTCGAATTCCAGAAGGATATTTAGTACCAGGAGGAATTATGATCCCCTTGTGTTATAAGGAAATGGAGGTCATTACCAGGGAGACACCCAAGGTAACACAGAGAGGAAGTGGCAGTGCCAGGCTTTGCCAGGCTCCTGGGTTCATTGAGGGCATCTCTTAGGTCCGTCGGACTCTGCTCACTGATCTATTCCCCAGATCTTGGCAGAATGGGAAAACCAGGCTGGGAGAAGCATCTTCGGTGAGGCCCAGAGGTTCAGAAAGTTTGGCACTGTTCTAACTATGAGGAAGGGGCCCTGGGACCCTGCCTTCTCCACATACTGAGTAGTTAGGAGGATTTTGGTGGTGTTGCCTCTCTGCCCAGTCTCCAGCTGATTCACCCTCTGCAGAGTACGCCTGAGGGATGACTGTTTCCTGCTGTGTCTTCAGAGCCTAACCAGTGTACACACTGACACACAGCAGGTGCTCAATAGATACACAGTGAGCGTTTGAAGGCCTGGGAAGCCTCATAGATGTTCCCTCCTACTTCAAGGCAGGAGGGGCCTCTGGATTAAACCTGCAGATAGAGCTGCTTCTACTCTGGGTCACCCGGGGGAAAGGCAAGGACGACAACGGCAAGGAGGCCAACTCTGAACCTAACACTGGGTCAAACAAGCTCACCGTTGTTTTCCTCTTTGCTCTGATGGCCTGGTCCTGGCCAAAATCACCCCATTGTTCCCAGCCTCAGTTTTCCCAGCTGTAAAATCTGCGCCCGCGTCAGTTGCGTCATTATCGGGGAATCTCGGGGAAAATTTTCCCATTCTGTAAATACCAACAGCTAGGCGAGAAGCCACGCCCCTATCACAGCAGGAAGGGGCCGGGCCTTTCCCGGGCTCAGGGGCTTCCCAGGCCTCCGGGAATTGAGTCTGGAGACCCAGAGGGTGGGAGCGGGAACCTGGAACGCCCTGTTCGCAAGGGGCGTCCAGTGACCCTGAGTGACCTTGGGTAAGACCCTTTCTTCCCTTCCAGCCCAGCCACTCATCTTTCAGGGGAGTGGTTTGGTGCCCTGGACTGTGCTGGCAGGCAGGGCCCGCCGGCGTGCTCCGCAGGCGTCAGTGTCCCCTCCAGCCGCCCAGCTGAGGGCACTGCGGGCTCCGAAATCGCAGCGGCCGCGGTCTGGGGACGCTGCTGGTTCCCTGCAGGCAGGCTTACCTGGAGAAGGCCGCGGCCGGTGGGACGACGACCGGGATCCTGGCGGCCCCGCTGCTCCCGGCCTGGCGCTCCCCGCCCGTCCTCGCCGCCCTACACCGGCCCCGGCCGGTCCCGCCTGCGCAGCCCCAGAGCCCCGGCCTTCCGGCCTGGGTCGGGCGCCTCGCCACCTGAGCCACCAAAGCCACCACCGGCCTCGGGAAGGGACCCACGGATCTGCAGCCCAGGAAATGAGAGCACGGGGCGCAGGAGGGCTCTGCAGAAAGTGCTCGCCAGGGGCTCGGGTGGTAGGAGGGGAGTGAGTCCAGACACTTGGAGGGGAAGCTTCAAAACTAGGCCGCCACACTTTGAAAGAGGCTGTCCCAGAAGCAGCCTCCCCCTCCTGGGTACACTACTCTGTGAAGTTTGCAACATCCACGCCTTCTGATTGTTCTTTCACTTTCTCTAATGCTCACCAGTCTTTGCATCCGAGGCTCTTAGATCCCGGAGACCTCCGATTTGGGGTTCCATTCCTGTGAAACTTCCTAACCACCGCTCAGCTTTAAACATTGAACAAATATTTGAGCTCCTACTGTGTGCCAGGTCCTGTTCCCAGGCCATGGATTGGCACACCAGGCTTTCCGCCCCATAATATTTTAATCGTAGTAACAATCATAGATTGGTTTTCTCTTTTGCCAATTAACCAATGCGTATCCCGCACAAAGAACTTAAAAGCCTCAGGAATGGAGGTCTCCATTGCCTCATCCGCTGCTGTGTGCCCAGCCTCAGGGTTGGTGGCGCAGCACTTGGGAGATGGCTCTTGTTGCCCCGGCAACCTATGAATTTTCATCACACCTAGTCTACAGGCGAGGAAGTAGGCAGCCATCCTGTTCAGGGATGGAACATGAGTCACCATGACCTCTAATGTCGTTGCTCTTTCTCCTGGAGAAGACAGGCTGAAGTTGGAAGTGGGGAAAATGTACACAAGCCGACTGGTCAGACGTGTGGCATTCCAGAAGCCGGTGACTCAGGATCCTATTGGAATGCGGCGGGCCTCCGTCACCTGATCTCCCTATCGGCCAGTCGGGACGAAAAACAGCGAGAGGGTTCTTGTAGGGCAGAAGGATCAGTTGAGGAGGACTGAAGGGTTCTAGCTGAGATTCTGGGCATCACTAAGGAGGGGCAATAACAATAACTATGCCAAAGTGGCACCCCTGCCCCCCAATAAACCAGGAATTTTAAAAGATCCTATTGTTGGCTCTGAAGAATGCAGCACAGGAGTGGCCAGAGGCCACCAATTAAGAAGAGATTCCAGGCCTAAGTAGCTGGCCTCAACCTGAGCTGATTTCTTCTCAGCCTTTCAGGTGTGGGACAACTGCCTTTCCTATTTCCAAGTAAGGTGATTTGGTAAATTCTTGATATAAAGAAAATAAATAAATGTAATTCTGAAAGTAAAAAACAAAAAAACCAACTAGGATAATTTGCTAATGGAGAAAGGAATAACAATAGATAAATGAAATCAATGTGGAAAATAATTTTAAGTTATACTCAATATAAAGTGCTGTCCTAGATTGGGTTTTAGGACAGTAAAGACATAACTGGTCAGTGGATCAGTTGGCCTATGCTTTCGTCAATAGCCACATATCAATACTGATTTTTTAAAAAAAATGCTGACAAACGTATCAGTGTTAGGATTGGAAATTAGGGCGAAGGGCACATGAATTCTTGCTAAGAACTCTGTACTGTCTCTTCAACTTTCCTGTCAATCTAAAACTCTTCGAACACACAACGTTTGCTAAGTAACAGGAAGATTGAGTCCTTAGTGTAGTTACAGGTCACCTCTGAGTGAGGCCCTGCTTTGCCTTTGTTTAAAAAGATTATCAGGGCCCGATGGTGAAGGGCTGAAATCACAGCTACATGTTTGGTGTGGGGCGGTGCTGAGGCTGAGGCAGGGGGATCACAGGCCTAAGGTCTTCCTGGCCTTTACTATGAGTCAGAGGTCATCCTAAGTAATTTAGTGAGGCCATGTCTCCAAAATAAACAGGTGAGAAGGAGGGCCACAGTTCAGTAAGCTCAGTGGCTGGCCAGGTTCTGTCCCTCAGTATCCATAAGAAAGGAGTGTTCCTGGCTGCTGGGTTGCCTTTTTAGAATGTGAGGGCAGCAAACTGCTTCTCCATGGAAAAGAACTGAGGGATATGGTGTGGTGTTCTCTGTGTACTGCTTGAGGCCTTTTAACATGTGTTCACATACTGGCTAAAATGTATTGTGTATGGCCAGTATATGTGTCTCAGACATTAAAAAATGTATCAGATTAAGGGACAAATGTCAAGGATTCGCTTCTCTATTAGAGGTTGGACCCAGGCTCTGAAGCAAATGCTGGACGACTGAGGTATAGCTCCATCCCTCTTTTTAGGTCAAAGTTGGATATCAGGTATCTTGCTCTGTCATCTTTCACCTGTTTCTTTAAAGGCTGGGTCTCTCAGTGAACCTAGAGCCGCCCTCCCATTCCCAAGGGGACAGGTACATTCTGTGACTTCCTTCAATGTGGGCCAGAGCCTGGCCCTGAGCCTAGGGCCTCTTCTCTGGTTCCATCCACTCACATGCCTTTGTAGCACTGTCTGGCCTCAGCTACAAGTTTTCAGGTTCCAGGTGATGGTTGGGACCATGTCAGCTGCAAAGGGCCTGAGGTCGGTAGTGTTAGAACATCTTTGCCCAGGGATCCCAGAGATATCTTGGCTGAGGCCCACCCTAAGCCAGGAAGAGTGACAACAGGGGGCCTGTGGGTAGAGGTCCCAGGCCCAGGCTCAGGACAGTAATCATTTAATCAGATGAGGACTGTCTCTGAGGCTTGGGATTCCATTACTCCCACCTGCAGGCTTCCCAGCAAGGAAGGGCTGGAGTGAGGTATTCAGAGGCTCATACAGATTTATCATTCTTTCTTCTGAAACCTGCTGATTCTGGATCTCACGGTTCCAGTAGTTCATCTCAGATTTTCTATGACACTTCTCCCAAGCCCATAGGTGGTGAACCCACAGTTTCTAGGTTCCTTCTGTATATGAAGGAGGTGTCACGTTGAGACAAAACTCTGGGCTAGTTCCTAAACTCTCCGGCATAGACTGGCCGTGCAACCTCAAGCAGCGTCTTTCTGATCTCAGTGTCCTTCTCTGCATGAGAGGGAACACAGTGGTTGAGCTTTACAAGGCTGTCAGAAAGGCAAAACTTGTCTGATAGGGGAAACGCCTGCTTAGCTTATGGCTACTGGGCAAACACGTTCCCACCAAATGGCAACAAATGGTATATCCTTGACCAACTGAAGACTTGGGAGGAGGTGGTGGATTTTGCTTCCAGGAAGTTGGAGGCTTAGGTGGAGAGACAACGTTCTTTTGCGGTCTGACTGGCAGCTGTCCCAAACTTCTCACACCCAAGGTCAATGGGGGAGATGCTTGAAGGCCCTCTCCACCTGTTCTGCCTCTGAGAAGGGGTGTTCTTCAGGCCCATACTGGCTGGCTGTAAGAGCCTGAGTTTATGCACACCCCCAACACTCTCTTTTTGCCCTGGGAATTGCCTGACCTTCTAAGAAAAATAAGGCACTGTGGTTTTTAGGGCAGTGTACACACATTTTTGTTTGCTTGGGTATTTATTTCTTTTGTGGTGTCCAGGATGGAGGGAACTTAGGGCTTCACACATTCCAGGAAACACACTTTACCACTGAGCTCCACCGTCAGCCTGCCACCCAGTGAGACAGGAGGAGCCCTTGTTGTGGTCTCCTAGCAGGCATTCAGAAGGATGTGACCAAAACACTGGCCTGTGGCTGGAGCCATGCCCTGAGCAGTTGGATATCCAGGGTGTTTTAGGACTGGTTGAGTCAGAGTTCCTCAGCCTGGGGAAAGGGAAGCTGAGAGCCAAAGCCCTTGCTCAACAGCATGTGACCACTGACCAGGGCCGAGCAGCCAGTACCCGGTGGCAGAGCCCTGTCATCATTCCTGACAAAGGTTCTGTCACCGTGAACTGTGTCCTCCCTACCTGTTATTCTCCTACCTCAGGAACTCAGGAAATGGGGTGACTGGGAAAGGACCGTGCAAGGGGCCTGGGAAAGTCCCTCCAGAGTCTTAAGTCTGACCATGGGGACTTTTTAAACTGTGCCTCAAGCTCCCAAGCTGGGCACCTTTCCCTGCCACCTCCACCTTGGCTGAGCTCTGAACCCAGAACCCACCAGAGCTCATTTTTGAGGGCAGATGCCTGCCTGCAAGAAGGAGCCCAAATGGCCTTGAAGAGACGACCCAGGGACCTTTCTAGTGGCTCTCACTCTGAGGCTGAGGTGGGGGTGTCACTTCGGAGGACCGTTGCATTTATGAGATATTTTATCTTTATGACAAAGTAGCAAACAGGACAGCAGATGTGATAAGAAGGGTGGCACCAACTGGAACGCTTTCATTGCTTTCATTCCGTCGTGTGGGTCTGGGAGTCTGATAGAGAGCTGGATCCATTTCGTGTGTGTATGTATGTATGTGTGTGTGTTTGTTCATCCTTATAACCCTGAGATTCTCTTAGTCAAGGCCTCGTGGTACACAACTGGTGATCTCAGAGTGGAGTCTGGGGACAATTCCAGGACTCACTGTCTCCATACCTCCCTGTCTCTGTCTCCCTTCCCACCGGTACAGGCACAACTCCATGCATCCTCCCACCCTGGGACAGACCCTGTGGGGAACCCTGAAGAGACTTTTGGAGTTGTGGGTTTGGGATAGCTGAAGCAAGCAACACAGAAGAAAGCCTGCCAGTGTTTTCATGGACTCTGGCATCCCAGCAGGGAAAATGCACAATGGCTAGAAATGGCCACAAACTTCCCGGCAAGCAAAACATCAAAACCCAGACAAGAAAATGAAGCCAGCTACACAGATTACAAAAGAACCCTGGTTCTATTTGCTTTGTAGTAAGGTCAGTGTCCCATTATGTCCACACAGTGATATATACAAATGCCAGGAGTTCTGGAAGGACAGGGACCCCTCCACTCTCAAAGTCACTCATTCAGGGGGGGAACTCTCCTTCCTTTCCCCTTAAAAGCTTAGCTGTGCTACACAAGGGCAGGCAGGTGCAAAACCATTGTTCCAGCACAGAGTCCTTGATCCAACACGGCCAGTCTGACTTTGGCATGCAAGTCCAGTTTGTATGTGATTT